GCTAAGACGATAAGCTCAAGGAGAAATATGAAAGCTTGTGGCGATAAATCTCTATGAGACAAATGACTGAGGCATCAGCAATGATGATCCCCATCAAGAAGTCAGGTATAGTCAGGAATGTCACCGAAGAAAAACCTGGCTTTCACAAACGAAAATGATCCGAAGAAGAATACTCTAGCACATAGCTTGACCCTCTTCAACAGTAAGCAAAAATGAACGAATCGAGATGCTGTAGCTTAGCTCCAGACGAGCAGTAGTTGCAGAAAACAAATTCATCACATACGAACAATCACTCAACCACCCTGCCTTAAAAATCTTGAAATATAAAGATCGGTTTGGATTTGCTCTCTCAAAAATAGGCCATAATATTGGACTGTGGAATAATTAGCCGTTTTTGTGCCGCTTTTAAAATACTGTAGACAAATAAGAATCACGGGGCAATACCATACCATGGGGTATAAATATACAGATCCTGAAAGTATAGACAAGACTACGAAATTCTATCATAAGCTACTGCTCTCATGCACTGATGAAGCATGAAGGGGTGCTGTAGAAATCAAAATCAGGATCAAAGCGATCGCATGCGATGACAATTATTTTTATTAGTCATGAAACTGTAGTTGATGTCATCTGAGAAAAAGATTAACTTACATGATAAAAGATCAAAGGAAACACTACTAAAGCGGGAAAAGTAACAAGTTAACAAAGATACCGAAATGGAACACAAGAAATATCAGAGATATGTAGTGCCGACCTGAATAGTCAGATAAAGGAATAAAAATTTGACATGACTGAGGCAAAATTGTTCTGAAACCAGTTAAAAATTATAAGAGGTAGAAAGCAGTGACAATGGACGAAACGCGCTACTACAAGAAATTAAATAAGTTATACCCCTAGTTTGGCTGACTACGGTGCCATGCAAAATTGGTCAATCTCGTGATCTAAAATTGTACTAATCTGCTAGCCGTGTATCATAATCTGAACCAATGCCGTAGGGAATAACTGATTTGTCAATTTTCGATACATTCCTAAACGTTTCAGCCTGAAAATGGGCATTTAAAGATGATACGGTATCATAGAGTAAAAAAAGACGGCTGTGCACTGCAGAAAAGTGACTAAAGCAGAGCTTCTGAAACACAAAATGGTGTTTCATAATAGCTCACATTTGCAATACTGAAAGAAAGCAAGTCGATGGAGAAAATGAGTGAAAAATGTAGAAAATTCGAAATGAAGCAGTGCGACCAACCAATTGGTAACGAATACATATTAACAGGCACTCTGAATGAATAACAATCCTGGAGAGGAGCTCGTCGGTCGGAGATCTGACTGATTTGCTTACGGCAAACATAAAGAAATGTTAACATAGAGAATTTCTGCCTGCGAATACAACAGGTCTTTTCAATACACACATCCTATCCGCAAACCCTACATTGATATTAAACACGGAATAGAACACTCGCTGAACAAATAAAACGGCATATCACGCAGTCATAAGAAACTGTATGATAGACGTAAGTAAACTGTAGCATTAATATAGGTCAAATGTGACATTAAGGACGTCACCTTAGTCACTTATGGGTAGAAGAAAATATGAACAAGATGCGTGGAGAAAATCAAGGGCAATAAGCAGAAAAATCGAATACCCCACTTACATTCGCGAAATATAAAGAGACTATGAGAAAGGCAGACGGCGGCAAGGTTGACTCCGTGTGGAAGACCTATGGCAAAAGGTGGATGGGAGCAGCTAGAAGTAAAAACAATGGAATGACTGCGATCTGCACAGTTGGGAAGAAAGAGGTGTTTCTGGTACAACGATACTACAGATCATCAGCAATAATAAAGGTTAGTCAGTAAGGGAATAAAGCCAATATGTGCGATTGCATGATATTTTGATTTAGTAAGAATCACACTATTTCATAAGCATGATATCACTTTATGCAGCCTCAGGAACAGTAAATGTTTGATAACTGCGAACTATGAATGTCTACCAAATGAACTGCAAACAATTCCGGAACATTTACACCGGAATGACAAAATGGCGGGTGAAACCCCGTTTAAGAAACATGGATTGGTTATGTACAATGGGCAAGAAAAGTACCAAACGACGATAAACTTTGTCTTTGTGCGTCCGCGCTGATTAAGCAATGAACATGAGTGAATTAAAGCACTCAAACCGGTGATAAGTCTCACTGTGGTTTCACCATACGCCAATCCTCAATCTGCAAAGTTTGCAATACTGCCTGTGACAGCGATGAACTGAATTTTCAAGATTTTTCACCTACTCGAAGTCTTGCATTAAATAACTTACTTCGACATTTGTCTTATCATCTTCATTTTTTATTGCCATATTTTTTATTTCACTTAGGCATTTTGCAATTAACGTTTCTTTTTGTCCTTTCTGCTTTATCGTAATACATCATACGCTATTTTTTGAATGTTTCACCACTACTCCTTTACTACTACCTGACTATCTGTTTTATCTTGGATAAGGAATGGGTTAGTAACCATGAGAGTTGGTAAGGGAAACAGTCACTGATTCTCAAGTTAAGTTCTGATAGTTAGCAAAGCTTCTCAGATCTGTGAGGTTACCTTTACAGGCTTTCACAACGCTATTTAACTTACAATCCGTCTTCTACTACGTACACTTAACTGACTACGCTGATAAACTTGTTTATTGAACTCAGATCAGTCATCATGCTGAATATTTGAAAATGATCACATATAAGCTGCTGATCTTTCCTACCATCATAAGTGCTTAACTGAGGCTGATAGAAAAGGAAAGGTTTGAAGGCGATAATCTGCAGTGCAATTCTATTGAAACAAAGGATTCGGCCATTCAACAGTGATTTCCAAGCTATGAACATTGCGCATAATCAGATACGAATTCATGAACTTCTACCGATGGTTTATTTTTAAGGTACAGAACGACACACATCTGACTGTTAGTATGGCCGAAACGTACAGCTGTAATCCTTCGCAGCCCAGTGTGTTGGGATCGTACGGTGAAAGCTTCAATAAGGAATGCGCAATTTCGGCCAGCTTCTAAACTATTCAACTTAACGCGAAACAATTAGTTAAAGGATTTCTTACGAGAAACGACTTATTGTCAAGGATTTCCGGTATTTTGGTCGACCTGTTCACAACCTTGCTTAGGTACTTCAGTCGAGGTGAGCATAAATTGAGGAAATTCGCCACCAGGCATAACAAAGCGTCACGCGGCTTTCGGAACATCTCGCGCTGTACCTCGACGTCATCGGTGATTTCCCACTGATTCGGTCGTTTGGAGTCGGGTCTGAAGGCGTGAGAAGCGTTTCATTAACAACCTGCAAATTGTGTTACTGAAAAGCTGCTAAATCTCACCTGATGACGATAGACCGTTCTTTGACGAGACTTCCCCGCGGCGAATCAAAAGCCGTCGACCGTTTGGCTCCACTGGTAACTAGATCAAAAGTCTTTTGAGGTCCTGCAAAATTTCTAAA